CCTCTTTCGTTTCATGTCTTCCTGTCTTCCTCATCTCTCCTTTTTTTGCGCACACACGGCTCGGCCCTTAGTATGTACGTGCACAACCTACCTTCAACCCAGGCTTCAGGTCGCCCCGGTCTTTACAATGAGGGGTGGGCTGTCATCGTTTGTCCCCTGTGCAGTTCCCTTTCATCGCAACCACTTACACCTTTGTCCCGTCTTGTCCCCTTTTCGTGTCTTCACTCTTTTGTCTTTGCTGCGCAGACACACACACACATGCACATCCGTCCTGGCCTTAGCTCTTCTCGCCTCCCCAAGTGGGAGGCGTGTGTGTGCACCCCTTGGAATCACAGGGAACCTTTTGGTTTCGAGCAGGGGGCATGCGGCTATCACGCAAACGCATGCCAACGAAGCTATGCGTGAAGTGGAAGCCAGGTCTGATCAACCTGCTGTACTTGCCTTTTGGAACTGTTGACAAAGCTGTCACTCCTCTTCCATAAAGGGCTAGTGCACTCTGCAGACAAGAGCGGCCGCCGTCATTTCGCCCTGTCGTCGCTTCGTTTTTGTCGGGCTTGGAGGCCTGGAGATGTTGCTCACTTTCTTGATTTTAATGTGCCTGAACCCTTAGGCGTTCACACCTGGGTGTGTGTGGCATGTGGCATTCAGATCAGAACGCATGTCAATAAGTGTGTGTTTCGGGGGGTTGGGGGGAAACGCACGGCACGTGCTTTGCTTTTCGAAGTCATATGTGATGCACGTGTGGAATGGGTTGGGCGGCGCCAATGTTCGTTGCACACGTTACGCAAGTGTTTGGCTCTTCGAAGTCACGTACTCATCTGATGTGCGCGTGAATCAGGCTGAAATGATTTTACAGTGAATGTCTTTCATGACAGTTCTTTTCGGCATTTTGTGACTTTGCGATGGATGAATCCCATATGCCTCCAACAGAAAGTTGTCGAACGCATGTAAAGGCAAATCAACGCGAATGTTGGTTCTGAAAACATGAACACGAGAAACGTTCGTTGAGCACACAGGGCCACGAAGAACACAAATCAACAAAACCGACCTACGTACAATATTTTGTTTCCAGCCTCTCCACTGCAACGGCTCTTCGCAAGAACGCTCCAAATGTGTGGTTTCGTTACAAACCTATTCAGACAAACACATCAAAACTCTCACGGATACTGATGCCGCCGTGACCTTGTTTGCAGATGAGGCCTCAAATGCCAAGACCGATGCCTCTTCCAGTGCAGGTGGTTTTTTGAAGTTTGGCGCGGGAGGTATATAGATGCAAAGGCTGCCCCTTCTTGAACATATTGGAAACCACATCAAGTAGAGCTTTTAGAGTCGTTCGAGGCCTTCGTGGACCAAACATGGAGGGTAGAGCAGGATCAATGTTTCATGGCTTGGCAACTTGCACGCGATCCTGGTCAAACAGATCCCAAAAATGCAGGTTGCACTTCCTGCGCCAACAGCACTTCGAGCTTTAGGCGCTGGTGTGCCCTGTTGTGTGCACTTATGCGCCACCAAAAACTATGGTGATGAGGGCCACCTCCTCTACTGGCGCCAGTCATGTGGAGACCAGATGCCAGGAGTGTGGTGTTTCTAAGGTCAAAACGTTTGATTCTTGTGAGACTTATGCGTGCCACGAAAACTGCATTACTTGAGAGCTCAAGATCAGCACTTGCTTGCACTCCCAGGCAAAACATGGTACAGTGGATGTCGTCATGTTAAGCGGATTTGAGCAGCCAGGATCATGGGCCAGCCGCAGCCATGGGTCAAGATCGGTCAGTGATTCTGACTTCACCCACTTCGTTGCGTGATCGCTGAATTGCTTTGCACCCTCCATAGCTTGTTGGCGTCGCAAAGCCTTTGCATCGCTTTGCATGGTAGGTGTCTCTCGTAGGTCAGTCTCCTGCGTCGAGGGACTGAAATTGCAGGTGCCGGAATTTGATCTCCCCTCAACTTAGCTAGGAGGAGACCGATTGCTCAGATGTTCGTTCCGTTCACAAGAAAATCGAAGGGTGTGAGATGAGGATCACAGGGATCACAGGGATCAGCTTCTGTGTTAAAGATTCGTTCAGCTTGCAAGGGATTTCAATTTTGTCACCGTATGTACTAGTCCTCCAGGGCATGTGAGAGACTTTCAGCTTGTATGTCCTCGTGAAATTTCGAAGCTTCAGCTGTCGCAACCCAACGGCGCTTTGGGCTTTCTGACCTGGAGGCCATGTTTTGAACAAATCGTAGGGCCCGCAGGGCTGCAGTGAAATGGACATAGGTTGTGAAATGTAAGTGAAAAATATTGAACATACAGTTTGATTTGCCAAATTCCATGGATGCAGATTCAGTAGGCAAAACGTGTGAGGAGGAGTTCTTGGCGAGTATTATTCGCTCAGTACACTCAATAGAAGCAAGTGGAAAAGCAAGAGAATCTCATGTCAAGGCCCAGCTCCGTGTTCTTTCTTCTTCCTGTACTAAACACCCTCTTAGGTGGCAGGATAGCTCACGCTTCTTCAAGGAAGCTCTCGCCACCCGCCTGAGGGCGGGAGGGCGGGGGGGAGCTTCCTTGAAGAAGCGCTCACACTATTCAATTGGTTCCTATAATCTTCGGAAAAGTTGTGGTTTGCACGTCGGATAAGCAGCGAACATGAGAAGTGCTTGGCAAAGCACACGCTGAGTTGCCAGGTGCTGCATGCTGTCTTTCTGAATTTTGGCAGTCTGTGCGAAGCTGCAGAGGTGGACGCTGGCAAAGTGGTTGTGGTCATGCGAGAGATTGACAATCTTCTAGATTTTGTCGAGCTTAAATACTATTTTTTTGTGACACGAGAAGACCACTTCTGAAGGATTGCTCAATGCAATGCAGGCTGAGATGCGAGCTGATTCCTAAGTGGACCAGGAAAAGAGGCGATCACTTGGGGTATACGGTATACATGCCTTCTTTGTGTGGTATCGCGTAGTAGCGGCAGTCGTCATCCCGTTCCACCTCGACCTTTTGAGTTTCTGTCCGCCACAGAGGTCTGCAGTTGATCCCACTCCGCCCCACGAATCTCAACCCCATCCCACTCTCTCCAAACCGCGTCGCCATTTCTCTATACAAAGCTCCACCCCATCCCAACAATGTAAAAGGCATCAGATCATCAGCATGCCATTTGGAGACAATTGAAGATGCGCAGCGTCAACTAAAACATTTTCAAGCTAATGAAGCCCTTTCTGATTAAGAGTGTCTTCATTGCCTTTCAACCTCATTCACCCAGCTGAAACTGCAGCCATGTCTGAAGCTGCGGAAGAGAGCACAGCGGACGCTGCCGAGTCTGCCACGCACGAAAAGGGCCCACCAGAAACTACGCCTGATGATCGAAGAGCTTCAGAGGTGGGTACAACAGTCCATGGAGTCCATATGCTAGTGCCCGAATTGGTTAACCACAATTTCCAAGACAGGTCAAAGATTGAATAGGGAATGATTTTGATGATTGAATATTGAATACATCTCCCCAAACGCGTTGGAACGTAGATGAACTGCCCCAGGTGGCCTCCTTCGAGATCCACGAGGCTTCACAGCCACCAGGCCACGAAATGAACGAAACCTATGATGCAGCTGATTGGATGCAACCTGCAGCCGCCCGATGGCTGTCGTCACCGTCCAATTGCTTTGTCAGGCGCTCGTCCAAATAAATCACACGCATTCACATGCGCCAAGGATCATTTCATGGAAGTTGCTGCTAAGTTGACCTTCGTTCTGTGACAGGATTCTTTCTTGTCAAGAGGCTCCAGACACTCTTAGGCACTGTAGTTATATAAAGGGATGCTGTTTGACAACCTTCTTCGTTACGCCGTTTATTCCACCAAAGAGCTTGCCTCAGTCTCCGACGAGTTGCTCTCATAGTGGGCGACGGAAAATCTCAACACCTTGGCGGCATCGCATGTTGGTCGCCACTTTGCTTGTTCTTCCCATCTTGACTACCACAACCAAGGCACTCGAAGTTAAGCTGTTGCAGTGCCCGGCAGTGCCCCTGCTCAACAGGTGCTACTTTAAGATGGGCCCTCGCTTCTGGACGTCTGCCAATGCCATCGTCATGGGCACGACGGTGCTGGGACAGGATTCACATCCAGGCTACAAACTGATGAACATTTGTGCCGCGTGGTTGCAGACCGTCCTAAAGGGTCAAAGTTTATGACGAGTAGCTGATTTAAACGACCCTCCAAGAGCGCTTGAACCCCAATTGGTGCTCAGACTCAAAAGGGAGTACCTTGAGCTCCTTTTTCCCGAATGCGTAGCGAAGGGTTCCCGTTTATAGTTGGGGGTGTGGGGGTTGGAGCTGTGTTTGCATGGCTTGCGTCGTCTCGTCGTCTCTCGTCGTTTGTCGTCGTCTCTCGTCGTTTGTCGTCGTCTCTCGTCGTTTGTCGTCGTCGTCGCGTCTCAAATTTGCTGCCATTGGGGGACGCTTTTGCAAGTGACTTTTCATGGACGTGTCACGTGTCAGTTTGCGCCGCTATTCCATTGTGATTTGCATGACAATGACATGTCGCGCAAGAAACGTGATGCATTTCGCTGCACAGGCGCAGCGTTTTGTGAGATCCGCAGATTGCTGCGCAGTTCCATTGGGATTAGCGTTTGGAGACTCGTGTTTTTGGGGTGTTGGATGTGGCCGTGCCATTGGGATTTGCGTTTCAGGGTGTGGCATCGAAGCTCTGTTTTCGTGACAAGTCTCAGCTGAAATGGCGGTTTTGGTGGATGGGAGTGTGCTCAGAACGGGTCGAAATCATTCCGAACGTGTGGTGTGGTGCAAATTTTGTTGAAGCTCACATGAGATGATATTGTCACTTTTCGTGGCAGGCGCAGGACTTTGTGCAGGTTTTGAGGCGTGGAAGTGCGATTCTCGTGGCAGGCGCAGGGAATCGTGAGGTTGCGAGGTGTGACGGAGGTGACATTTCGTGGCAGGCGCAGGACTTCGTGCGCGTTAGACGTGTGGACGCGGAAAGATTCGTGGCAAGCGCAGGGAATCGTGAGGTTGTGAGTCGTGGTAGAGGTGAATGTCGCTGTCACATTGGGATTGGCGTGTGAGCGGATGTTGTTTGGAGGGGCTGGAATCGCGAAACTGCTTGGCAGGGCTGCGTGATGTGTGTGCTCCGATGGGTGTTTCGAGTGCGCGAAATGCAGGCGAGAGTGCGATTTGTCCGGTGCCCGCGCAACCCTCTGCGGAGATCGTGCGTGTCGAGCGCGCGAAATGCAGGCGAGAGTGCGATTTGTCCGGTGCCCGCGCAACCCTCTGCGGAGATCGCGCGTGTCGAGCGCGCGAAACGCAGGCGAGCACTGGCAACTTTGTAGTACAACTTTAGTCCGCGGAGTATCTGGGGAGGTGGAAGATGAGAACTGGTGAGTATGCGGAGTATCTGGGGAGCTGGAAGAGTGTCCCACAAGAGTGTCCCGCAACAGTGTCGCTCAAGAGTGTCTCACAAGAGTGTCCCTTAAGAGTGTCCGACAAGAGTATCCCACAGGAGTGTCCTATAAGAGTGTCCCACAAGAGTGTCCCACAAGAGTGTCCCACAAGAGTGTCCTACAAGAGTGTCCCACAAGAGTGTCCCACAAGAGTGTCCCACAAGAGTGTCTTACAAGAGTGTCCCTTAAGAGTGCCCTACAAGAGTGTCGTGTAAGAGTGTCCCACAAAGTGTCCTGCAAGTGACCCGCAAGAGTGTCCTACAAGAGTGTCTCACAAGAGTGTCCCACAAGAGTGTCCTACAAGAGTGTCCCACAAGAGTGTCCCGCAACAGTGTCGCTCAAGAGTGTCTCACAAGAGTGTCCCACAAGAGTGTCCCACAAGAGTGTCCCACAAGAGTGTCCTACGAGAGTGTCCTACAAGAGTGTCCCACAAGAGTGTCCCACAAGAGTGTCGTGTAAGAGTGTCCCACAAGAGTGTCTCACAAGAGTGTCCTACAAGAGTGTCCTACAAGAGTGTCGTGTAAGAGTGTCCCACAAGAGTGTCCTGCAAGTGACCCACAAGAGTGTCCTACAAGAGTGTCCCACAAGAGTGTCCCACAAGAGTTTCCTACAAGGGTGTCCCACAAGAGTGTCCTACAAGAGTGTCTCACAAGAGTGTCCCACAAGAGTGTCCTACAAGAGTGTCCCACAAGAGTGACCCACAAGAGTGTCATTTGGACATATGTAGTTTTTCGAACGTGTTTCCATTCGGGTTCGTGGGCTCCATCTTGTTTATTTGAGGAGAATTTGAGCACATTAGTTTTGGCTCAGAAAAGGTTGGGCGCATGTGAAAAAGAAAACCATACACCATACAATTTTAGATCCTAAAAGACCTTTCTTGCTTTAGACTGCTGGGCCGTTCGTGTCTTGCTTGTGTTGCTATTTGCCTTGTTTTCTGTCTATAAAGATTCTCCGCGGCAACAAGTTCGTACAAACTGCTGGAGATATTCATTGAAGCAGAAAGAGGATGAGTGGCCAAGGTTGAGACATCCATAGACCTTGGAATGCCCTGGTAGCGCACTTCCTCTCACAAATGTATCTCCCAGACCTTGGCACCCTCTCATTTGCTGGCGCTCAGGTGTTGGCTACCTTGGTTTAACCTGGGTACCCAACCCTTGCAGTTGTTTCCCACGCCGCTCGTCAGGTCATTGCTTTTGAACTCATGGACTACTTTTACCACGTGTCTGTTGCAACAGCCCTTCGCACTCTCAAGCCCTTTTGGGTGGGACGACTGAGCGGAACGGAAGCTGTGATGCTTGACACCTGGGCGATTGGCAAATGGCTTTGCGTTGGAAGCCTGCTGATGGTGGGCAACTTGCCGCTTGCTTGAACTGGTGCCGTTTCGGTCGGTACGGTGCCTGGGCGGTGCGGTGTCCCAGAAAGGGTGGGAGACCACAGTGACATTAGCCCAAACAGCGGATGTTCATCCACAAGAATACTACAACTCCCACATCCTTGCTTCTCATCGCCAGCTTCCTGCCGGCCATGTACGCATGGAACCAACAAGCAGACCATTCCAGCACCATAGTCTTACTGATTGCGGCAGCTATGAAGCTCGCGTTTTTGCCAGTGATCGTCAAGCCCCACATTGCCACCACCCTGATGATGGAACTGGACGTGCACCACTTGTGCAGGTGGACGGAACATCTGAACGTCCCGACCTTGCCGCATTACGTCACCCTGGTGGGTTTGGTGAAGACCAAGTGGCGCAGGTTTTTACGAATTCATTTCGCGCTGGAACTAGTTCCACCTTTGGCCTACATTTTTGCCATGCTCCTGCTGCTCTTTGGTATGCGTCCCCATCCTGAAGTTCTGATGGTGGTGTCTGCAGCACCCCTATCCATGGCATATCTCTGGTTACAGGTTTTGCCTTTGGCACGCTTCAACCAGATGATTGTCGATTGGCAGCTGTCAACTGAAAATAACGACACTTTTCGGATCCTGTGGCAAAAGGAGAGGGACCTCATGTTTCTTGTTCAGCCTGCTGCAGCAGCCTGTCCTTTTGATTTGGCTTCAACGTACCCAGAAGTAGCATAAAGCTTGGTATTCCCTCTTTGTTTTCTTTAATCAGTGGACATGGTTTGCTTCAACTATCCTGGCTATGCTGTGCACCCAGGTTTACCGTTTGGAGATATCACATCACTTTCAGAAAGGTGCGCTTGTCTATTGCTTCGCTGGCGGCGAGTATGCTGATCAAGCAGGGCAGGCAGGCCGTCTGGATAGGGTGTCGTTGAAGATGTTCCAACATTTTGTGTAGGGGCCGGATCCAAGTCCGGTAAGCAATACAAGCAGGCATATATATATATATATATATAAACAACTCCTAATGACACACATTTTCAAACATTTTGGTGGAACCGTTCTTCTTCAAGTTTGACTTAATCATTAATGACACTTCATGACGAAAGCACACTGAGGGAGGCGCAAAGGTGAGATGTTGGAAGACACGTGTTGAGATGTTGACACGCTAGGGACCCAAAGCTTGAAGACTGGGTGTCATGAGTATGGGTCAATATCAATCATCCTGACCATTGAGTGACGGGATAATCATCGGATAATCCAATGATTTATTTCGTTCAATTTTGGGATGTGACAAGCATAATGCCAGTAGCCAGGAATTTACCTCATGGGAACTTCATGGATTGGAGAATCACGCTCAGGACGTTGGCCATGGCATTGACCCACGCCTTCGATGAAACAGAGCCAGAAGTGAGCACCATCCTTTTGGTCGATTGAGGAGTGTCAAAAAGCATGAATCTGTTCTGAGTTGTTTTTTGCCCATGGTTGTTGGCGTTCGGACCTAATTCCATCAATGATCAATAACAAACGATCAGCTATCAAGAAGAACCATTCTTTTGATGAGTTGGATGTTGTGCAAAAACTGTTGGATGCCAATGATCGCGAAAGCTAGCATGCTAGCTGAGTTCTTCTTTGCTTTAGCAATGTTGTGGTGGGAGGGGCTGCGTGCCTTAAAGATTGATATATCAAGCTAACCCCCCCCCCCCGCGGTTCAACTCCCAGCTGCGCCGTGTAGGGGGTTGGTTGAACGTGTGAACGTGGTTGGTTGGGTGTAAACGGTGGCTTGGTGTAAAGGGTGCTGGGTGCTACTGCTGCTGCCGCTCTGCTGCTTGCTGCTGCTGTTTGCTGCTGCCGCTGGTTGCCGCTTTTGTAGCTGCTGCTTTGCTACTTGTTGCGGCTTGGTGCTGCTGCTGCTGTTGCTGACGACGCCGCTGCTACTGCTGCTTGCTGCTTGCTGCTGCTGCTTGCTGCTTGCTGCCGGTGGTGCTTGCTGCCGGTGGTGCTGCTGCTGCTGCGGCTTGATGCTGCTGCTGCTGCTGCTGCGTGGTGCTGCTGGCTGGCTGCTGGTTGGTGGTTGCTGCTGGCTGCTGGCTGCAGGCGGCTGCTGCTGCTGCTGCTGCTGGCTGCTGCTTGCTGCATAGGACTTGTACTTCACCGTTACAAGTTGTTTACTCCTATTTCTAACCTAATGCATGCATAAGCGGGTGGTAAATTTACCCCCCAGGCTTGCTATAACCATACACCGGCTATTTCCTCAAGACACTCTATTCTTGATACCCTTTACCAGTGCTTATCCTACACTACGGACGCCCTAGTGTATGCACAGTCCT